GACAGGGCGTGCGAAGGGGTGGGGACCGGCCGCTGGAGCTGGCCTCCTGAGCCCCTGCTGCTTCCCTCCCCGGTGCCGGCTACCACGGTGCTGGCTACCACGGTGCCGGCCACGCTAGCGCGGCCCAGGGCCGGGAACCAAGTGCACGCAGCAGGGGCCACAGCAACGCGCCTGGCACAATTAGCCAGACTCGGCGCCAGGACACTAACGGCGACCTGCCCTCCCACTGCCCAGGTGGGTGGCGGAAGGGGTGAGCGAAGTCCCACACCAGGTCCCGCAGGCAAGGGATGGGTGCTGAGATGGTACTCCCCAGGCCCGCCTGTACCCCCACTTCACAGGGAGCAGAGTGGCTGGCCCACAGGCCGTACAGGGCAGGCTCGTGCTCCGTCTACTAAATACCGGAATCCTGGCCCCAGGGAACCCGCCAGCCCCCACCCAGTGCAAACCCTCAGACCTCGGGCCACAGGGACCTCCACAGAGAGCTCTATGGCCACCCACCCGCCCTGCGGCTGGCACACCTGCACGCGGCACACCGGAGGTGCAAAGGAAGGCCTAGCAGTGAGCAGGGGACACTCTCTGGCACCACCCATCAGGCCGCCCTCCCAGGGTCTCCCCTTGCACCGCCCCCCCTCACTCAGCCCTGCAGCCCTAGCCCATCAGCTGGGCCAGATCCAGCACCAGGGCTCCAGGCCTCTGTCAGGCCTGCTCGGCGTCAGCATCTTCCCAGCCAGGCTGGGGTGTCCCTGCCCACACGGCCGGTCAGGCTCCTGGCCCCGGTCCATTCTGCAGATGGGTGCTGCCCTGTCCTGCCCCGCCCAGCCCTGCTCAGCCCTCCCCCACTGGCCTGGAGTCCAGGAGCTTCCACTAGCTCCTGGGGCCTACAGGAGGGAGGCCAGCCTGGTGGAGGAGGCGCAGGAATGGGCCAGCAGTCAAGAGACAGGGGTGTGGGCCTCCACCTTGAGGAGTACTGCCCACGCCTATGGTGCTGAGACCCGGCAGGCCCTGACAGCTCTCCAGACACCCAGGGGAAACCGAGGGCTTTGCCACCTCCCGCCTTCCTAGAACCCCCCGCCCCGCAGCCTGCTGTGGCCCTGCTGCACACCCCCTGCCTCACTGGGCTGTGTGACACCGTAAGGTCCGGATTGCTGGCTAAAGAGGAAGCCGGGGCTCAGAGGGGTGACAGGGCTCCACAAGGTCACACAGCAAGGAGTGACAAGGTCAGGAGTCCACTCAGCCCTGCTGCACGCAGAGCCCCCCATGGAGGCAGGCCCTCCCCTCCCCTCCCTGCCCTCCTCTCCTCCACCTCAAAGGCACAAAGGCTCCTGTCCCCTACCTGCTAGTGGGGTGGCCCCACCTCACCACTGCTGCGGGGAGGCAGTCATTTCCGAAATGTCTGTATGAACTGTCTGTCTCCGACAGACACTCCGGGGGCCGGAA